AGAGAGCAGAGAGCGAGAGAGAGCAGAGAGCGAGAGAGCAGAGAGAGAGCGAGAGAGAGCGAGAGAGCGAGAGAGCAGAGAGAGAGAGAGAGAGCAGAGAGAGCAGAGAGCGAGAGAGCAGAGAGCGAGAGAGAGAGCAGAGAGAGAAGAGAGCGAGAGAGAAGAGAGCGAGAGAGAAGAGAGCGAGAGAGAAGAGAGCGAGAGAGAAGAGAGCGAGAGAGAAGAGAGCGAGAGGAGAGAGAAGAGAGCGAGAGAGAAGAGAGCGAGAGAGAAGAGAGCGAGAGAGAGCCAGAGAGAGAGCCAGAGAGAGAGAGCAGAGAGAGAGCAGAGAGAGAGCAGAGAGAGAGAGCGAAGAGAGAGAGAGAGCAGAGAGCGAGAGAGAGCAGAGAGCGCAGAGAGCGAAGAGAGAGAGAGAGCAGAGGGCGAGAGAGCAGAGGGCGAGAGAGAGCGAGAGAGAGCAAGAGAGGGCAGAGAGCGAGAGAGGGCAGAGAGCGAGAGAGGGCAGAGAGCGAGAGAGGGCAGAGAGCGAGAGAGAGAGAGAAGAGAGCGAGAGAGAGAGAGAGAGAGCAGAGAGCGAGCGAGAGAGAGCAGAGAGCGAGAGAGAGCGAGAGAGAGCAGAGAGCAGAGAGAGAGCAGAGAGAGAGCAGAGAGAGAGCAGAGAGAGAGCAGAGAGAGAGCAGAGAGAGAGCGCAGAGAGAGAGCGAAGAGCGAGAGAGCGAAGAGCGAGAGAGCGAGAGAGCAGAGAGCGAGAGAGCAGAGAGCGAGAGAAGAGAGCGAGAGAGAAGAGAACGAGAGAGAGCAGAGAGCGAGAGAGAGCAGAGAGTGAGAGAAGAGAGCGAGAGAGAGAGAGAGAGCGAGAGAAGAGAGCGAGAGAGAGAAGAGAACGAGAGAGAGCAGAGAGCGAGAGAGAGCAGAGAGCGAGAGAGAGCAGAGAGCGAGAGAGAGCGAGAGAGAGCAGAGAGCGCAGAGAGAGCAGAGAGAGAGCGAGAGAGAGCAGAGAGAGAGCGAGAGAGAGCAGAGAGCGCAGAGAGAGAGCAGAGAGCGCAGAGAGAGAGCAGAGAGCGCAGAGAGAGAGCAGAGAGCGCAGAGAGAGAGCAGAGAGCGCAGAGAGAGCGAGAGAGAGACTTCTGGTCCATCAGAGCGGATCTAGAGCCTCCTCCAGACACTAGACTACAGCTCTGTCTCCCACAGACAGAGGGCGCCACGTTTGTTTAAGGTTTCCTTCACTGCTGGTTACTGACTGCGCAGACTCTTAAAACACACAGACCTAATTACATTCATGACTGGAGTATGAAAGAACCTTTATGAAAGAAAGATATTTTAAGATTCCAATGCTAATCATTAAGATAAGATAAGATGTACTTGTAGTAATGTAGTAATCTCACACAGGAGAAATTTACAACCGATGAGTCCGATGGTGAACCCAGTTTATTTATTAAAAACATTATTTTATCTTCACAGGGTCTAACCTCAATCCCAGTGCAATTCATAACTTTTATGACAACCTTGGATTTGTGGGACCTGTTCCACCCAGACCTAAAGGTACTTTTTCTGGTAAGTTCAGAACATATTCTTTCTGTTTGCTTTTGTTACATAATGTTCTGGGAGTGGAGAATTCTACTCCCAAAAGTAAACAATGATCACAGTATTAGTGTCGTCTTCTCTGTGAACCATGGGCCATAGTTACAGTTACATCAGCTCTAGCACCTCGCTCACTGACGTCTGCAGTCCTTAGATTATAGATTATTATTATTATATTATTAAGTTTGGCATTAACTGTATCCATGTACAAAGTGTAGGTTTGTTTATGTTGATAAAGAAACAAAGTGGACGAGGAACAAACGTCAGGAAGAACTGCTGCGTTTACGTTTCATCAAAACACGTACAATAGTTTTATTTACACATTAGTAAATAATCAAACTGCTTCAGGTTCATTCATTCTTTCACAGAACACTGTACCATGATCAAGAGTTTTTATTTCTACACACACACACAATGCAAATATTATTAAGCATTTATTTAGTTGTAATGTGTAGATCCATAGGGTGTAATCTGTGCTTTGTCCTGTAGAGGGCGGTATGAGCCTGAAAGCCTCCACTGAAGAGGACGAGGCCCAGTGGAGCTGTACGGCCTGCACCTTCCTCAATCATCCAGCCCTGGACCGCTGCGAACAATGCGAATTCCCACGACACTTCTGAGCCAGATGCCTTCCCCCTTCTGTCCTCCAGAGGGCGCCTCGGGCCTGAGATGCTGACAATACCTCGCTGCTCATTTTTTCAGTGTTAAATAACTGACTGTGCCAATGAATAAGAGAAACTCTGGTGCCTTGTAAAGTGGAGCGGTGAGAAACCTCTCTGAACGGACAGAACAAACTTTTTGCATGCCTTGTTACAGCACAGAGGTGAAACTCAGCTTTGACTGTACATATTTTAGAATGTGCCTTTTTCTCACACTATGAAATTCTTGTATTTTCTGTAAGTATAGTAGCTTTATGCCCTGAATAACTCCCTATTCCCCCAGTTTGAAACCATGAATTTTCCTTTTGTACCTTTTTAGATCGGTGCCAGTTTGTGCCTTAACGACTCTCTACGAAGCTAGAGGGCTGTAATAACGGAGGCCATTGCCGCCATTTTACAAGTGTAGTTTTCAAATACAACTGGAATGCAGGTGTCATGTTGGAGAAACCAAACCACACTTAAAGGGGCAGTATGTAGAAAAGATTAAACTCACGTCTATTTTATCCCCAGAAACAAGATCAACATGTTTTATACTGTATTCAGCTTCCATTTCAAGACGTAAATGCAGATTCTTACGATGGTGGCCATATTGTTAAACTTTTGATATTTGAGTTTTGAAGCAGACGACACGAGTTATTTGCGTTGCCAGTTTATTGGTTGAACTCTCACAGCTGGTTTTGTCTCTGCTCAGACCCCGAACAGCTGTAGCTTATGGTACAAGCACCGACATGTATCATTAACTGTGTAGATCAGGGGTTCCCAACCTTTCTGAATCTGAGAGCTACTTTTATGACACAGAAAGAGAGCTACTCCTTTTTAGCAGTCGTAATAAAATAATCTGTGTAATAACTACAGCCATCATGGAGAACACACGTGCAGAATATACCATTACACCGTACAGTGTCCCTGCTTTAATGTTGAGACTCAGAATGATGTGTTAAGTTCTTGAATCCTTTGGGGAGCTACCTGAGCGGGGGTGGTGAGCAAGTGGTATCTTCCGAGCCACAGGTTGGAGACCCCTGGTGTAGATTAGACTACATACTGCTCCTTTAAATCAGGCCGTCGCAATGAGAAACGAGTTAGACTGTGTTCCAAACGGAGCCTATGACCTCGGCCTCAAATGTTCTGTTAAGTTCAAGCCTCAAAGAAAAGTAGAATGCACTGACTTTTGGGGCGGGACTTTTACAATGAGCCCGAGTTCTCCCCTGCTCCACCCCCAGTGTCTGTGGTCGGTCGTCCTGGTCTCCATCCATTCTCCGCCTCTGTCTCCGTTACAAAATGTCCACCTGAGATAATGAGAAACTGCAGTGAATTTGGTCCAGAATCTTGGTCAAAATCGCCAAAGGTTAATTCACTGCCACAGCCTTAAATGTTGTACTGAACCCGTGATGTTCTGCCAGTAACGGTGAACCATAGCTTTAGGTGGAAGGTCAAACATCTCTGAAGCACTTATCAAAAGTATTGTTAATTTCAAAACCTTTTCAAGACTTGTTTTTGGCTCGACATGTTGCTTGGTGTGAACAGGCAGTCTTTTATTGTTGAAATAATACTTTGAATATCATGTGTCTGTTTTTGGTGGGGAAGACAGTCTTTGTAACAGATAAGTTATTTGTAAAAAAATAATAAAAACCTGCCATTGTAGTTACTTTTTTATTCACATGGACTTCAGACGACAGGACATTCTCAGGGACTCTGCTGGGATCACGGCACCGGTAGTTTTTAGGTCATTTTGCGATTTGTTTTAGAGTAAAGGAAATAAACATGGTCTTTGCCCAAGTGTTTAGAAGTGATAGAATGACCATATCTGCATGTGAAAGTCAGATCTCATCAGATTACTGAAGCTAAGCAGTGTAGGTCCAGGTTAGAGCCGTGATGGGAGACCTGAGACACCAGTTGCCATAGTCGGGCAACAAAACTCCCCAAATTCCCTGCACTGCAAAAAGATATAAAATGAGGTAATTGCTTAAATCAAGTGTTTAAAAAAAATATTACTTTAAGCTTAAAGGAACTAAACCTGATTTATTTTCTAATGAGTCAAATAAAATGCGTACTACTACAAACAAGTATCAAGATCTGTAATTTAGTAGAAAACTTTAGCTCATTGATTCAGCTGTGTATGAATTCAGGCCGTAAAAAGTAAGTAATCTTTATTTATATATACCGCCTTTCACAGACCAGAGTCACAAAAAGTGCTGAGTAGAGAGCAGCGCTGTTACGAATAGGCCACGCCTCCTCGTGTCTGTTGGGGGCGGTGCTAAACATTCAAACTGAAAATAACCCTGCAGAAACAGGTATAACTCCTTTAAAACAAGATTCTCAAATGGGACGGAGCCATTTATTTGTATTTCAAGAACTGTGGCATTTTTATTATTTGTATTTTTATTCAGAGTCAGCGGCGCCTCCGGTCCCTGTCGTCCGAGTGTTTGGACGAGTGACTGTGGCGATGGTGAGATTTGTGTTTGTCTCTGGAGCGGGATCGAGAGCGTTGTCGGTCTCTGTCCCGATGGTCGTCGTCCTGAGAGCAGAAAGAACCGACGAGTGAGACAGAGATGACGTCAGAGATGACGTCAGAGATGACGTCAGAGATGACGTCACAGATGACGTCAGAGATGACGTCACAGATGACGTCAGAGATGACGTCACAGATGACGTCACAGATGACGTCAGAGATGACGTCAAAGTTGACGTCAGAGATGACGTCACAGATGACGTCACAGATGACGTCACAGATGACGTCACAGATGACGTCACAGATGACGTCAG